GATGGGAATATTTTTATGCACTTATTGGTTATTTCCAGATGATCTATGGTCAGAAGATTTGAGTAGATACTTTTCCATTTTTTACTGGGTTGTCTTTTCATTAATGATTTTCAAGTTATTTTCTATTTTGTGGTTTATCTTTTTACTTCACAGTGTCCTTTGATGTGTAAAACAGTTTTTTTATTTCAGTGTGGAATTTAAGAAACAAACATGAACACAGGAATAATAAAGCCCAATTTGTTTTTTGGTGTCTTAAGTAATCACTGACTAATCCATGGTCACAAAGTTTTACTGTTTTCTTCTAAGGATTCCATAGTTTTAGCACTTGGATCCACTTGGAATTAACTTTTTTGTGCATTTTGTGAGGTAGGGAAATACGGTCATCCTTTTGTATGCGGTTATCTAGTTATCCCAGCTCCATTTGTTGAACACTCCTGGCACCCTTCTCAAATGGGATGTATCTCACAATTGCAGGCGGCTAGATTTTTCTGTAACCCATCTTCTAATTCGTGGAACTTAAGTGTTCCAGTATTTTAACTCCTGAAGTAAAAGCCCATGTAAATGTGCATTTTCTTTTGGGAAATGAAAAATCCATTTCACTCAAAAATATTAAGACTCCTTAAATATCAATGTGATGAGAAACTATCAAATACTATACCTTCTAATGAAAGGCCTATTAGTTTAAGGCTTGAAGGTTTACCAATAATCCTTATATTGTTAAAAGTAAATGAAGACTGTCACAAAAGTAGCACTATGAAGATACTGAACACGAATTCATCAATTCTATGAGCCGGGTTAAGTTCTCCTAGAAATAGATTTAAGCACTGGTAGAATTTTTAAATAATGTATTATGTGGAATATAACACAATAAGCTCAACTATTTGGGATCAACTGGGAAGTTTGAGAAATGCAAAAATCAAGCCTCCTTTTGTATCCCCTTTATATCAAATGTCCTGATGAACCCCAGACAGCCACAGAGTCTGAAGACAACACTCACAAACATACTGAGATCCGTTTAATAATTTTTGAAGACTTTTCCTGTAAAATGGCTTGTATTTCCACAGGTTACAATAGTGAAGAAATAAACTTTTCAATTTGACATGAAATATAAAACAGTTTTACAAATATATCCATAAAATTTAACTGCTCATAACACTATACATGGTAAATAGGACAACCCCTTAACTTCTAGACTATTTAATACAGAGAAATGATTGGTCGTCTCACCTAAAAAGAAATAATTTCCCTTTCATCAAGTTTATTTTTGTTTAGAAATGGTTAAGTAGAACTGGAAAAATATTTGCTTTTTCCTATCTTCCTCTAGGGCTTTTTTTCATGAGGGTGAAAACTTGAGAGGATATAAATTTTACTTAAAAAGACATACTGAGCCTTCTTTGTTTTACTAGTTTAGTAATGCTTACATTCTTAAAAAAAAAAAAAAAAAAATCCTGGAGCTGGCTCCTTGGCCTTGGGGTCATTAAGAAATGATAACCGAGCTATGCTCTATTTCCAGCACTGGAGGAGGAATGTCATCCCCTCAGTCCACGAAGGCTAAAGCAGGGGGCTGTAAGGCTGCCTGCCGAGGGAATGGATCTGGAGCTGGCTTAAAATCAAGGTTCTGTGGTTTGCCTATCAGAAATTCCTCTGCTGCAAGGCAAAATTGCATGGAGCTAACTAGCTTGTAGTCAGCGTGCACAATGCTGCAAGCACACCTCCTTTCATACACACCCAAAGCACAGAATAGCTTCTAAGAAGTTGATCAAAATCATAGAACTGCAGGTAACAATTCTGTAACCGAGGAGAAAATTCAGGAGAAAACACGCTCCCTTTAAACTTTCAAAAGTGCCCAAGTAACAATACTGAGCTCTCCCAAAAGGGGTTTGAGTTTCATGTCGGCAAAAATGAAAGCTTGATGAAGCAGAGAGTTCTCAACTTTCCAAACAAGGTATGTGTAATAACTTAAGATTTCCCTATTGATGCTGGGAATAAATTCTAATACAATCATGCGTATGCCAGGGCCTGGCATAGTTCTGCATCCAGATTCATTAGTCTCCTTAATGGAGCCCATCATTTTTCCAATGGCTTTCTCCTTCCTTTAAACCCTAACCCTGAAATTCTATAACCAGTTATATCACGTGGCTTCCCTGAGGCACAAAGGTACCAAACTCTATAATTAACTATTGAGGAATGATAAATATGCTCTCTATTTATATAAAAAGATTTTCACTCTTGGGCCACAGTGAGGGGGGAAAAGAAAAACCCAGAAAGTTTCATACTTACCCTGCAGTGTGAACTGTAGCCCTTTTTGCAAAAAAACAAAACCAAATAAGGGAAATGTTGAGTTGCAGCATGCATGACCCGACAGCACCAATTATTAATAAAAAAAATTCCAGACTAGAAAAATATTCAGAGTTGTATCCCATCCATTTTTTTTTAAAATAGTAAACTGACAACTGAAAAAAACTAACTATGGGAATACATCACCGGGGCTTTACTTCTAGTGACTTATTCACAAAAGGCATGTTGGTCAGGCCAAGATCAGGATAATTGGTCAGCAGTTTCCTATGTGTACAGCTGGGGAGTGGGGCTCACCCCTCAATGGGGCAAGTAAGACAAAAACAGAAGTCTTCTCTGAAGTTACTTCTTCTGAACTATATTACTCTACTTTGGTGAGCTAGACTTGTATATCCTCACAAACTAAACTGATCTCCTGTCTGGAACAAATTCCTTAGTCCAAGTTAATAAGCGAATCTTGCTAGAAGTGGCCATGATGAACCTGGCTTCTTTTCACACACTTGCCACCTCTCTGTGGTTCCTTAGGCAAAGGGGGAGGGGACCTCACAGGGAAGTCAAAGGAGAAGATGTGGAAAGAGGCTAGTTTCCTGTGACCCCTTCTAAGATCTTGGAATTTATTACCCAAAATTTGACTTCTACTTAGCTATCTCCATTTACTAAAAGTCAAAAGAAACCTTTCACGTTGGAAGATGATCTGGGGACATGTAAAACTGCTAGACCCCAAACTATGGTAGTCCTTGAAATGGAAGATTATAGAACACCGTAGCTTTCTGGAAATGTTTTGAGAGGAAAAACCCAGCCCTTCTAGATGCAAAGCCATTTACCTTACAAGATGCTTTTAGGGTATCCAGGGTCCTCAAACCTCCTCCTAGACATACAGCAACAAAAGGGACTGTTGCCTCCTTTATCATTTTGTGGAACCCAAAGAAAAACAAACTGGAAAGACTAGAAATGGAAGCTAATTATTGGAGGCTAAGGCTAAAAACAACAAAAAAACATGTGATGCATGAACCTAGGCAATTCCATATTCTGTTTGCAGATAGTTTATTCCTTATGACTTACCCTATCAATAAGAGGACTGTTGTTGGATTTTCACATCACTTCAAAATTACCAAAAATGTCTCCTCCTAAACGATCATCTCCGTTGAAAAGTAAAGCTATATTTAAAACTGAGAAGCTGAACTTTTTAGATACTAGGTCAAATTAAGCAGCAGCAATCAAGAGTAGTCCCTTTAAGGAAAAAGACATTCAAGAGGTGTTAGAACAATTAAAAATATGGCAACATATTCACCAGGAGGCAAAACATGGAAAGATGTTCAAGTATGAATACAGTATGTTAGAAGCCTATAAATTTTATACCTTTATGAAGGTTAGAGTGTAGCATGAATCTGCAGTGGTCAATCTTTGAGGATGTTAGTGTAAATAAATACTTGGTCCGGGTGGCCATCTGTCTCCTATCCTAAAGAACCTTTACGTTCTGGAAGCAGTGATGCTGTAGGTACCGAGGACAGAGAATGAGCATCTGAGAATTATTCAAAATGAAATGGAGCTAACAGAAGGGTTTGTGGTGCTCCTATGAAATTCTGATTTAATTATTCCTCAGTAAACACTCATTTGCTCTCTCGAAATCTGGAATTTCAAATTATCTCTGCAGATGTACCGCTTGGTGTTGTATATATCTAATGATCGCGTTTAAATTGTTTGATTTGCAAACATTTTCAAAACTTACAGGGCTCCATAAGCGGGAAGAGAAGGTGACAGATAGCAGTGAGGGAGTGAACAAAAGCCACTCAATCGTGGTGAGACTTTGCTTTTAGACTCCCAGAATTTTGGCCTTTTTAAGGAAGAAAAACAACTTAGGAAACCCCAACAAGTGGTTTTAAAAAGTAAAATCTTATTTTTAATTACTCACAAATCTTCAATTCAGTAAGCAAAGGAACTTGATTTGATGGTAGAGTACCTAGGCCATGCTGACTGCTGCAATTAATCACCCTCAGTTAATGAATTTTTAGAGTTGCTGCATTTTACTCAACCCAACAGCTGTGGCCATACAAAATGAGTATCAGGGACAGACCAACTTAAAAAGTAACCAAAGGCAGACTAAAAAGTTATGGAAATGTCTTCGAAAGGCCAAGGTATTTGATGACTGGATAAAGTCATTGAATTCCACCAAACTAAAACAAAAAAACCAAGAATACGTGAATATTTTCCCAAAGAAAGAAAAATCTGAAAACCCCAGATTTCAAAACCACCACCTGTGCCTGACGTCCCTCATCCACCACCACCACGTTACTGAGCTGCCGCTGTGGGAGCTGGTCAGATTCGAGCCTGGATCAAGTAGGCCCGAGCCCTGCCCGTCTTTCAGTTAACACCTACACCGCGCAGCACAGAAGGTCGCACGGTTAGAGCCAACTTCTGAATAAATTTCTTCTACATTTGTAAAATAGGATTTTAAAGTCTCGTCCAAGTTTACAAAGGAAAACGTTGTTTAAAAACCCAAGGTTAAAACAAAAGCGTGGCATTTTAAATCCAATTATGACAAAGATTAGGGTTTCACCAAGCAGGCTTCAGTGACGATGCCGCTTTTTTGAGCATGCAACACACCCCTGACACCTTAAATTCCTGGCATGTCTCGTCGCCATGTCCCCCCCCCACCTTTGAACTACCCCCCAGTCTCGGGCCCCCCTCCCCTTAATAAACAGCATTATAAAAAGGTAAAATCTAGAGTTAGTGGCAAAATCTTCACAGTAACTTGTTAATAAAGTTGTAGATGGCCGTCAAGGGCATCAGTCAACTGGACCTTGGAAAATTAATTTGATGCAGTTCTGTTCCCCAACCAGCTGCGTCGCACAGAACGGGCAGGCAGCGTGAAATGCGTGAGTCCCGTGGGGCAACGGGATCTGAGACCAGTATTTCGCAGACTTCTCTGAGCACACGTGTCCGCAAGGGGTGAAAGCATGAGTGGGTGGTCCCGCGTCTACATAAAACCCCGCCTCGCAGCCCAGCCAGAGAGGCACGTAGGGGCCCACAGTCCTGCACATGGGACACTCTCTCTCGTTGGCCTCGGTGTCGCTCCGGTGGCCCCAGTTGTGGTACCCGTGCACGTGGCCGCAGCTGAGGTACGCCCAGGGCTGCTTCTCCTCCACCACCTCCTTCCTGTTGATGCTGGGGAAGGCCAAGGTGTTGAGCCCCACAGGACACTGCGGCCGGGCGGCATTGATCTCCTGCCGGAGCGCCTCGATGTGTTTCTGCGTCGGAGTGTGGAAAAGGCCGTCTGCGGTTCTCCAGAGAAGGGTGGCCCCGCACAGGTCAATGAGGGAGCCGTCCTGCAGCACGTTCGTCTCACTTTCCACCTAGAACAAGTTTGACAGACATGCCTTTTAAAAGCAAAATTCAGCAAATCACCCTAACGTTCTTAAGACTGAAATCCTCTTTCAAGGCAACACAGGCAGGCAGCTTTCTCCCTGCCTCCCTGAAGAACAGGCCTGGTGGGGGGGGGGGTGTCACCCCTTCCTGGAGCTGGTGTCCTCACTGGAACACTGGATGGAACAAGGACATGGCATGCTGACAGCCTCATCGGCACACATGCACCCAGCTTTACGTGCTCAAGTACTGTACTGGTTATTTAACTTCACAAATCTCAGTTTCATGTTTCCTCTGTAGGTCAATGCCACTAGTCCTCCTTGACCTCACACAGGACAGGAGATGTCCTACCAGCCCCTGCAGTGAAGATTCACTGTGACCAAGGTGATCCAGAAGATGCTTGTGGGACCCTGCAATGCTTGTGGACCGCAATGGTCCAAACACTGGCCGGTGGGCCATGGCTTCATACAATCTACTGCAGGCCCTGCATTGCTGTGGTGTGGGGAAGCACTCTCCGTTAGCCCTCATGAAAAATAATTTTTAATTTTTTGAGAGATTTAAAACATTTTTTAAATTAAAAAATTTTTTAAAGTTTTGTTTTTGAGAGAGAGAACATATAAGCGGGGAAGGGGCAGAGAAGGGTGGGGGGACAGGATCTGAAGCAGGCTCTGTGCTGACACCAGTGAACCCCCCTGTGGGGCTTGAGCTCCTGAACCGTGAACCACTCAACTGACTGAGCCACCCAGGTGCCCCTGGGTTTTGTGTTTAAAATGACCTGCTATGCACCACGTGCTTACAAGTCTGATTGACAGCTGACTACAAGCAGCAGGCCGGCCTGACCCTCCGTGCGCTAAACCCTGGGGGTAATACGGCTCCTCTCTGAGCCTGAAGACAAGTCTTCGTTAGTAGTGGGAGGCAGACGTGCTGGAGCCAGGGAAGGTCAGTACAATAGTGAAAGTCGTGCGAGGCCACATCAGTGCACAGGCTGAGTGTGGCCTTTGCAGCGCACGGCCTTGGGGTGCACCTTGGCTCAGTCATGCACTAGCTCCAACCTGGGGCAGTTACTTCTGCGGCCTGGGCCTAGGCTGTCCCTTCTGTAAAACTGGACAAGGGGATTTTGAGGGTTAAATAAAACAAACCAAGTGCTGAGAACTACGGCAGGCATACAGTAAGCACTATGTACACATCTGCTACTTTTGCTTTGGTGACAGAAGATCAGAGATGCTTTTTGTTTTTTTTAAATTTTGAATTTTTTTTTAACTTATTTATTTCTAGGAGAGAGAGAGACAGCGTGTGCAGGGGAGGGTCAGAGAGAGAGGGAGTCACGGTCTGAAACAGGCTCCAGGCTCCGAGCTGGCAGTCAGCACGGAGCCCGACGCGGGGCTCGAACCCACGAACCGCGAGATCATGACCTGAGCGAAAGTCGGACGCTTAACCGACTAAGCCACCCAGGCGCCCCGCAGAGATGCTTTTTGAAAGGGTTTTCCTTGAGCAGAGATTTGAAAAAGTGGTCCGGATCCAGCAGGTGGGCCAGAAGACGCTCCACAGAGAGGCGTGCAAAGGCCCGGCGGCATGCAAAGGAGGGAGCAGCAGGAATTCCACAGGCGACCGAGCCGGCTGGGCAAGAGCCTCAGGCTGGTGTTCTGGTTGGCCTCCTGTGCCGGAGGGCATCCACGCAGAGTTTTAAGTGGCTATGAAAGAACAGATTGCCTTTCCCAAAGGTCACTTCCGGCAGTGCGGAGGATGGGGTGGATGGGTTTAAGACTAGAGGATGCTGACACCGTGGGAGTCCTGTTCCAGGCAGAGGGTGGGTGCGCCTCAACAAAGGTGAGTGAGCAGTGGCAACAGCCAAGGCAGAGATACTGAATGTTGAGGACTTAGCTCCTGAATTAAGGAAGACAGATTTATGCGTCTGGATCTACTGTCTGCATGGGAGGCAGCTTTCCGGACACAGGGAATCTGGGAGAAATGGCAGATTTAGAGTAAGGGACAGAAACTCAGTTTCGGGTGTGTAGAAGCTGGGGGTCTGTGTGGTGACATACGGGGCAGGCGTGACTGCGCATCTGGCTTAGCGTAGCCCCCCCGCCGTGGGACTTACTGGCATGGGGGTGAAGCCCTGGAAAGTGGACGAGACTGCCCAGGCAGGGGGTCAGGGAGGGCAGAGAGGCCCACAGACAGAAGCAGGGCCACCCCGCTGCAAGGCAGGGGCAAAGAACTGTGTGAAGGGCAGGCAGAGGTGCGGGAAGAAGAGAAATTTTTTTGTCCATCTCTGGCTCAAAGGTCTTTCTTTGCTGGCTCTCCTGTGTCCTCAGGTTCAAGCCCAAACTTAACACATTTATTTATAAAATATCTAGGAATAAACCTAACCAAAGATGTAAAAGATCCATATGCTGAAAACTATAGAAAACTTATGAAGGAAATTGAAGACGACACAAAACATTATCAAGGGTTAGAAGAACGGATATTGTTAAAATGTCAATACTACCCAAAGCAATCTACACATTCAATGCAATCCCTATCAAAATTGGACCAGCATTCTTTTCGAAGCTAAAATGAACAATGCTAAAATTTGTATGAAACCACAAAAGACCCTGAATAGCCAAAGTTATGATGAAAAAGAAAAGCAAAGCAGAAGGTATCACAATCCTCGACTTTAGCCTCTACTACAAAGCTATAATCAAGACAGTACGGTACTGGCATAAGGACACACAGACCAATGGAATAGAGAACCCAGAGTTGGGCCCGCAAATGTATGACCGTTTGACAAAGCTGGAAAAGAGGCAGTCTCTTTAGCAAGTGGTGCTGGGAGAACTGGGCAGCAACATGCACAAGAATGGACCTGGACCCCTTTCTTACACCATACACAAAAATAAATTCTAAATGTGAGCTAGGAAACCGTCAAAACTAGAGGAGAACACAACCTCTTTGACCTCAGCCGCAGCAGTTTCTTGCTCAACACGTCTCCGAAGGCAAGGGAAATTAAAGCAAAACTGAACTATTGGGAGCTCAAGCAAAAAGCTTCTGCTTTTAAAAAATTAAAAGGCAACCAGTGGAATGGGAAAGGACATTTGCAAGTGACATGGATAAAGGGTTAGTATCCAAAATCTATAAAGAACTTACCAAACCCAGCACCTAAAAAACAATCCAGTGAAAAAATGGGCAGAAGACTGAACAGACACTTTTCCAAAGAAGACCTCCAGGTGGCCAACAGACGTGAAACAATGCTCAACATCCCTCATCATCAGGGAAATACAAATCAAAACCACACTGAGATGCAACCTCACACTGGTCACAGTGGCTAAAATTAACAACTCAGCAAACGACAGATATTGGTGAGGATGTGGAGAAATGAGAACCCTCTTGCACTGTTGGGGGAATGCAAATTGATGCAACCACTCTGAAAAACAGTGTGGAGCTTCCTCAAAAAATTAAAACTAGAACTACCCTATGGCCCAGCAAGCACTACTAGGAATTTATCCATAGGATACAGTAGAGCTGATGCACAGGGCCACATACACCCCAATGTTTATAGCAGTGCTTTCAACAATGGCCAAATTATGGTAAAGAGCCTGGATAAAGAAGATGTGGTTTATCTATACAATGGAATACTACTTGGCAATGAAAAAGAATGAAATCTGGCCATTTGCAGCAACATGGATGGAACTGGAAGGTATTATGCTGAGTGAAATAAGTCAGTCAGAGAAAGACGGATACCATACGTTTTCACTCATATGTGGAACTTGAGAAATTTAACAGAAGACTGGGAGAAGGGAAGGGGAAAAATAGTTTCAGAGGGAGACAAACCATAAGAGACTCTTAAATACAGAGAACAAACTGAGGGTTGATGGGAAGGGGGGTGATGGGCATGGAGGAGGGCACTTGTGGGGATGAGCACTGGGTGTTGTATGTTAAGTGATGAATCATGGGAATCTACCCCACAAACTAAGAGCACACTGTATTCATTGTAAGTTAGCTAACTTGACAATAAACTATATATATTAAAAAAAAAGTTTGCTACAGCTCCCTCCCCTCCTGCTCCCCTGCACTGCAGCCCAGTACTATAGGGTCCCTTCCCGTCTCACAGGCTGGCATGAGGTTCCCAAGAGGTTTCTCTGAGTAATGCCTAAGAGAGACTTAATATGAAGCATTTTGTAGAACCTGCACAGAACACTACGTTTATTTTCAGATCACCTAAAATTAGGTAAGCAAATTAACTTAGCTGAATTTACTAAATTTTATAGAGCCAAAATAGTTTAATTAAATACCCAAAATATAATTTGATATATCTATCTAGTACATTCAAACATAGAGCAATATTATAACTATTGGTAAAACTATTGATAAAAAGTTATCAACTAGGTAAAGGAATAGGATACAATTCAAAGTCTATTCACCTCTTTTCTGTGGTGGTGGTGGTGGTGGGGGATGCTCCTGAAAGGGCGTTTCCCCCACGTTTAATTGATGGTGATGATCAAGGACAAAGCTGGTGTGATGAGGAACCAAGGCGGTTGTTACACATCGGCACCTTAAATGCCTGGTCGGATATTAATACAGAACCTTCTGCGCTCAGCACTAACTCCACACTGTGAGCAGAGGGCATCCACTACTTTTACAATATTCTGGATCTTTCCCAGATCACTTTATCCTCCACATTTTGTGTTACATTGCAAATGTCGAGTTACTGCCAGAGACCGTTCTCTAAATCTAATCTCCGGATAGAAAATTTACATCCACGCAACAGCCATATGTACAGAAGGGGAGACATAAGCTCAAAGAATCGGTAGGTTTTCACTGCCAACTGTCCCCCCTGGTTAATCAGAGGGGGTTGCAGGGGAGGACAGGTCCCTTCATCCCCACGGTGCCTGATGGAAGCTCAGACACCCTTCCTGTAGGCCGGGCCCATCGTGCAGGGCAGATGTAAGGGTCTCCTCCAGGGATGAGCTTGGAAACCAGTCTTGATTTAGTGCGACCCATGCACACAAGCTATTTTTGGACTTCTTTTCAGTAGCACTGCCACCTTCTCTGACACACACAGCTGCCTGCGCTGGGCCACTGCACAGTCACCAGAGTGGGCACGAAACCCATCCTATAAGTGTGCCCTTGGAGACGGACGTGCCCTGTGCGGACTCTGGCATACGCTTTCTATCTCCTAGGAAAGCAAATGCTCTGGTGTCAGCCACCTCGGGTGACAGCCAGGTGTCCCTCCCCACAAGCTGATACCTAGTGGCGGCCTGAAGTCTAGATCCTCAGTCAGGGAGGACTGAGTTTCAATCCCATCTGCTGCTACCTTCCCACTCTGGTACCCTGGGCAATAATGAACCGCTCTATGCCATACCTTCCTCATCCATAAAACGGGCAAGATCCTACTTCCTTGAATGAAGCTGCTCAGATGTAATGAGCTAAGGTCTCTGAAATGTTAATGTAGTGCCTGCACCCAGCAACCATTTACTGACTTCTACTGTGGCCTTGATCATGACTGATAACCAGCTCAGCCAACTGTGGTCAGTTTGTATAAAGTTATCCAGCGATCAGAAACAAAGTTATCTGAAAGACCTGCTTTCACATTCGGTGCCCTCTTTGGCCTCTTGAAAAGTGTTTACACAGAGGTTACTGCACTTGCTTTGGGCTCTCTTAGAAAACGCTTCTCCTATTTACTCAGTCGGGATGTTCTATAACATGCAGAATGTTTACTATAAAATGCAGAAGCTGCACTTGTAGTAAAATAGAAATAAAAATAACAGTTCCCTACAAACATCTAGTAGAGACTAGCCAACCAGGTTAGTAAAACAGTGCCCCCTCCGCACCCCCGCCATCTTCTTTTTCCTTTTTTAGTATTCATGGTTATCATCTCGCTGAAAAATGCTAGATCACACTCTGTTTTTTCTGGGGTGGGGGATTCTGAAGAAAACATTTGTTCTCTCTTATTCCAGCTTCTACCTAACAATTAATTAAAGGCACTGGAGGAGAAAGTTTACTTAGAAATTTCTGGCACTGTGCCCCACAGCTGTGGTAAGATCAGAAACCCAAAGCTTCCCTTTTAAGGGCTCATAATTCTCCACAGAAGAAAGGGTTAAAAAACCAACTGCTTTAGGGTGTTTGGGATAAGTAGTGCTATTTATAGGAAAATATTAACATGCCAAATCAATGCCTTCTATGAATTATTTCAAGTAAAAAGTTTTACGATTTTGGCGACTTATATAGGGAACTATGTATTAATTTCTCACTATGAACCTAAGGGAAAAAAGCTAACTTAATTCTCTTTTAGTTCCAGGAAGTCTAGCAAATAATTCTGTAATTCATAATTTTCACTAATTAGTCTTGGACAGCTCAGAATTTTTCCACATTAGTAAAGTTTTGTACTAAAAATAAGTTTGTCCTTCTTTATCGAATTTAAGCAGAAATCTGTGGTGAAGCATATAGTAAAAGATATGCTGTTAAGGCAGGGAAGGAACAAAAAGGTAATTTTCGTCTTCTATGGGGAAAGCTTAATCATTGAAGGAAATAAGCCTTTCTCCCTAGCACTTTCAGGGGCGTGTGGAATTCTCGTTCTCCTGGGTCAATAGAACGGAGTCCTGGTGCCCCGACAGGGGTTTTGAATTTCAGGGGAGAAAAACGACACTCCTTGCGCTAGGCTTTTGCAGTCTGGTGCGTTTTCCAGAGTGAAGACCACTCACCAGCTTTCCCCTTTGCTGGGCCGACCTGGTTTCCCGCAAGGTGTACACGTCTCCACATACAGAGATCTCACGCCAGACCCCAGGCTGGGACTCTTCAGTGAAGCCCCCTCGAGGATGCATCACCAGCACGCCATTTGTAGTGAGCCCGTCCATGTGGCCGTCGGGATTTTTCCATTTTGCTGCCTTTTCCTGGAGAGCGCATTACAGAACAGAAAAAGCATGCTAAGATTATGTTCAAAAGGAAGGGATTCCAGGATCTCTTTAAAATATCCGGTGTGGGCATAAGGAAGGAAAGTGATGAATTTTCATTTTCTATTTAAAGCTAATAATCAGAAGGATAAAATATGCAATTATTCTGATAACATGAAAGTGCTAAAATGTATGAATGATTTATCACTGGATATGCATTATATTCATCTTGGGAGCTTAAAAAAAAAAAGCAAGAAAGAACCTGAGGCCTGGGCCCTTCCCTCAGGGATTCTTTTCTTCCCACCGCCCTCACCCCTGGGAGAGTCCAGGAATCTAGTATATGTTCTTCAGTTATATTTGTGCAATTCTTTTGCCCCATATCTACCAGCACGTTACATGCAATCATTACCTGGGAAGTAGACAGAAGAAAGAGGAAAAATCATACAAAATTTTTAAGAATGTTAGTCTAACAAGTTGTGGCTAGTATCTCTTCATAAATATCCATGTTTGGATCCTCAAAGATGGAATGTAAAGAGCGCTTGATATAACGGCAGGACAAACACCCCGGGATACTTGTGTCACAGCGATTTCTCTCCTCTTTCTTGGGGACACAGCCAGCTACTGGTCCCATGACTTGGGAGTAAATTCTGATTAGGATAAGCCCTCTTGCCAGTGACTGAGCTCTGGCCAACGAGACATGAATGGATCTTTAGGAACCTTCCTGGTGAGGCTCCTTTGCTCTAAAAAGCAAAAGGGGAAGGGATGTGATGTTAGCCTCCCAGCAGCACAGGTCATTCCTTTTTCCTTGCCCCTCAGATGTACAACTAATCAGACATCTGTAATCAAAAAAGAGCATGCCTGTACAGCATCCAGGTCACCTGAGAGAGCCCAGGAAAGTGGGTGCATTGAAACCCAGAGGAGGCAGCAGAGGGGAGTTGCTGGGGAGCCAGGAGGCAGCAAAGGCGGAGGCTAGTGAACAGGCAGATAGCATAACCTTTCTGACAAAGGAGGTGGAGGTTGAAGGCGGTGAGTGGGGGACTGCCCCCTGCATGTTATGTAGCTGGAAGGACCCAATGTTGTCTTCAGGGAAAGACTGCAGTGAGTTGGGGAAGGGAAATAGGCAAAAAGAACTTCCGGGAAGGGTCTCCTGTTCTCTGCCCCAGGGTTCTGGCCCATGGACTTCTGGGACCCCCCTTCATCCTGACCCCAAGTTGAGGATCCCCCTTCCAGTCTGTGGGCACATCAAAGCCCCAAGAGCTAAGCACACACACGTCTCCCCACTCTGCGGCACCCCCATTCCTTTTCCCTTGGCTGCAACTCCCAATCCTAGGAGGAAGTCAGCCCCTACCCCAAGAGAAAACAAAAACTTGTGCTATAGCATCACCTTCTGGAAAAGAAAAAGAAGGCTCCTAACTACCAACTCATTGAACTGTTAGAACCAAAGTAAGCAGAACCTTGCCTAAATAGGGTGTTCCCTATTTGAAATGTGGGGACAGAGGCACTTTTAACTAAACGCCATGAAAAATCACAGTGATACAGTATTACAAAAGGAAATGAACCCAAAGACATGGAATAATGCAATCTAACTGATAAAGAATTCAAAACAGCTGTTATGAAGAAATTTAATGAGCTGCAAGAAAACTCAGAAAGGCAATACAATAACCTCAGAAATAGACATAAGGAATACTTTACCAAAGACACCAAAATTGTAAAAAGAAAAAAAACAACAAATTTTGGGTCTGAAGAACTCCATAAATGACATGAAGAATGCACTGGAATGCACTGGAAATAGAGCAGATCAGATGGAAAAGAGAATTAGTAAGTTGGAAGGCTAGAATAAAGAAATGATTCAGATGGAAGAGGAGAGAGAACTAAGATTTAAAAGAAGTGAAGAAACACTACAAAAGTTGGCAAACACCGTTAGAAAAACCAACATATGAATAATGAATTTTCTAGAAAGAGAAGAGAGGGAGAAAAGGACAGACAGCATATTTAAAGATATTATTCCTGAGAACTTCCAAAACCTGGGGAAAGAACTGGATATACAAAGTCCATGAAGCTAACAGAACACCTTATTATCTCAATGCAAGATCTTATCCAAGACACGTTATATTGAAAGTGCTAAAAGTCAACAATAAAATTTTCAAGGCAGCTGGGGTGGGGGGAGGGTGAGGAAGACAGTAACCTACAAAAGAATCTCCAGCAGGCTATCAAACTTCTCAGATACAAACTGTCTGCAAGAATTTTCTACCCAGAAAAGTTATGCTTCAGATATGAAGGAGAATTAAAGGCCTTCCCAGACAAACAAAAGTGGAAGAGTTCATCACAGGCCTGCCTTACAAGAAGTGTTCAAATGAGCTTTTCAAGCTAGAATGAAAAGACAGAAGTACACAAAACTCTGATTAAGGTGATAGTCAGAATTATAAAACTATAAATCTTTATAATAGTATATTAACTCCCAATTATAGCATAAAGGTTAAAGGCAAAGAACATTAAACATCCCTATAATAAATAATAAAAACAACTACAGCTACTACAACTTGGTAACACAATCCAGCATAAAAAGAGATCCTTTGTGACATCAAAAATATAAAAGGAAAAGAGTAAAAGGATAGAATCTTCATAGGAAAATGAAGATAAATTGCTATCAGCAGAAAAAGGACTATTTTATCTAATGAGATATTTTATGTAAACCTCATGATAACCAGAAAGCAAAAATAAATTTAGAGTAGAGACACAAAACATTAAAAGAAGAGTGGGAGACTGAGCAAAAAACACCCTGGAAAACCACCAAAGTATAAAGATAGATAGAAAAAGAAGGAAAAAGAACAATGGAGAGACAAAATAGCCAAAAAGTAAAAGAGAAAATGGCAGTAATAAGTCCTTACATATCAATAATCACACTAAATGCAAATGCATTGACTCACCAAAAGGCATAAAGTGGCTGATGGATCTGAAAAAACAAAAACCGAAAAACCAGAAGACCCAACTATATGCTGCCTTACAGGAGATTCATCTCAGCTTTAAAGACACATATAGGCTCAAAATGAAAAGATGGAAGATATTCCAAGCAAACAGAATACAAAAGAAGGAAGCTATAGCTATACTTATATCAGACAAAATAGATCTGAAACCAAAAAGGGTAATAAGAGACAAAGTTATTACAAAATCATACAGGGATAAGTACATCAAGAAAATATAATGATTATATGTATGTACGGAGATTATGGATATACATATCCATCCCCAATATCCAAGTACCAAATTATATTAAGCAAATAATTAACAGATCTAAAAGAAAAATATACAATAGAATAATTGTAGGGGACTTCAATACCCCACTATCAACAATGGATAGAGTTTTCAGACAGAAAATGAAGAAGGAAACATTGGAATTAAATGATACTTTAGAACAAGGACTTAATAGATATGTACAGAACATTCTATCCCACAGAATATATTTTTCTCAAGTGTACTAGAATGGTCTTCAGGAAAGATATGATAGGCCACAAAACAAATTTTAGCAACTTTAAGATGACTAAACTCATATCAACTATCCTCCCTGACGACATTGCTATGAAAGTAGAAAGTTACAGTAAGAGGAAACTGAGAAGATCTACAAATATGTGGAAACTAAACCACTACTGGGTCAAAGAAGAAATCAAAAGGGAAAAATTATCTTGAGACAATTGAAAAGGAAAACAATATATCAAATATAGTGGGATACAGCAAAAACAGTCCTGAGAAGTTTACAGCAATAAACATGTATATAAGAAATTAGAAAGGTCTCAAACAACCTAACTTTACATTTCAAGGAACTAGAAAAAGAAAAACACAAAAACAGCAAGCTCAAAGTTAGCAGAAGGAAGGACATTAAGGATCCAAGCAAAATAAATCAAATAGAGACCAGAAAAACAACAGAAGAGATTAACAAAACTAAGAGCTGGTTCTTGGAAAAGATAAGCAAAATTGACAAACCTTTAGATAAACTCAGTAAAAAGAGAGAAGACTCAAAGTTAGAAATAAAAGAGGAGATATTATACCTGATATTACAGACATACATAGAATCATGAAAGACTGCTAGAACGTAGAAGAAATGGACACATTTCCAGAAACACACATCCTAGCAAGACTTAATCAGTTAAGACTCAGAAAGTGGGTAAAGAGATTGAATGAGTAATAATAATAAAAAAACAAAACCCCAAGAAAATTCCAGGACCAGATGGCTTCAACTAGTGAATGTGACCAAACATTTAAAGAACTCTTCCAAAATATTGAGCAGGAAGGAACATTTCCAAACTCATTCTATGAAGCCAGCATTACTTTGATAACAAAACCAGATAAGGATACCACAAGAAAATTATAGACCAATGTCCTTGATAAATGTAGATGCAAAAATTCTCAACAAAATATGAACAAACCACATTCAAGAACACATTAAAAGGATTAGACACCATGACCAAATGGGATTTACCCCTGAGATGCAAGGATGGTTCAACAGATGCAAATTAATAAATGTAACACATACATCAATAAAATGAAAGATAAAAAAAATCACATGATCAAGTCAATAGACCCAGAAAAATTATTTAACAAAATACAACATCCTTTCAGAATAAAAAAGCCTTAACAGATTAGCTACAGAAGGAAGATACTCAACATAATATAGGCCATATATGACAAACCTATGGCTAAACATCAGACTCAAGGGAGAAACACTGAAAGCGATTCCTCCAAGATCAGAAAATAAGACAAGGATGCCTCCTCTTACCATTTCTATTCAATCTAGTACTAGAGGTCCTGGCCAAAGCAATTAGGCTGGGTGAAGAAATAAATGGCATACAAACCGGAAAGAAAGAAGTAAAATTGTCACTATTTGCTGACGATATGATCTTATATATTGAGAAACATAAAGAGTCTGTCAAAAACCTTGTGGAATTAATGATTTCAGTTAAGTAAAAGACACCAAACCAACATTCAGAAATAAGTTGCACTCCCTGACACAAATGAGGAAGCATCTGAAAAAGGCAAAAAGTAAACTATCCCATTCATAACAGCATCGAAAACAATAAAATACTTAGGAATAAATTTAATCAGGGAAGTGAAGGATCTATACGATGAAAAGTATAAAACTTTGTACTGAAACTTCACTGAAAGAAATTGAAGACACAGACAAATGGAAAGGCACCCCATGTTTATGAATTGGAAGAATATTGTTAATAGTCAAAATATGGAAAGAGCCCAAATGTCCATGGATAAGATGAATGGATAAAGATGTGGTATATATATACAATGGAGTATTACTCGGCCATTGAAAAGAATGAAATTTTGCCATCTGCAATTACATGGATGGAATTAGAGGGTATTATGCTAAGCGAAAGTAGTCAGAGAAAGACAGATATGACTTCACTCATATGAGGACTTTAAGATACAAAACAGATGAACATAGGGAAGGGAAGCAAAAATAATATAAAAACAGGGAGGGGGATAAAATATATGAGACTCTTAAATATAGAGAACAAACAGAGGGTTGCTGGAGGGGTTGTGAGGGGGGGATGGGCTAAATGGGTAAGGGGAATTAAGGAAATCTCCTGAAATCATTGTTGTACTATATGCTAATTAACTTGAATGTAAATTAAAAGATAAATTAAAAAAATAAAGCACAGGGGTGCCTGGGTGGCTCAGTTGGCTAAGCGTCCCACTTCGGCTTATGTCATGACCTCATGGTTCGTGGGTTCTGGCCCCGCGTCGGGCTCTGTGCTGACAGCTAGCTCAGAGCCTGGAACGTGTTTCGGATTCTGTGTGTGTGTGTCTCTCTCTCTGATCCTCCCCTGTTTATGCTCTCTCTCTCTCAGAAATAAATAAAACATTAAAAAAATAAAGCACAAATAAATATTTTAAAATAAAAAAAGGAGAATATTGTTAAAATGGATATACCACCCAAATCCATCTACTACATATTCAATACAATCTCCATCAAAATGTTAAAGGAATTCTTCACAGAAATAGAATAAGTAATCCTAGGGGCGCCTAGGTGGCTCAGTAGGTTGAGTGTCCAACTTCGGCTCAGGTCATGATTTCACGGTTCGTGGGTTCGAGCCCTGCATCAGTCTCTGTGCTGAACGCTTGCTCAGACTCTGGAGCCTGCTTCAGATTCTGTGTCTCCTTCTCTTTCTGTCCCTCCCCTGGTCACACCCTGTCTCACGCTCTCAAAAATAAATACATATAAAAAAAGAATAAATAATCCTAAACTTCATGTGCAACCACAGAAGACACCAAAGAGCCAAAAAATTAAAAAGAGAACTACCATATGATCTAGAATTTCCACTTCCAGGCACATACCCACAGGAAAACAGGATTTCAGTGAGATATATGCACTCCTATGTTATCTCATTATTCCCAACAGCCATTATTGGAAACCACCCCAATGCCCATCAATAAATGAATGGATAAAAAAGACACTGTACATATACACAGTAAAATATTGTTTATACATGAGAAAGGAGGGTAGCCTTCCATTTCCAACAACACGGGATGGACCCTGAGTGCGTTATGCTAAGCAAATTAAGTCAGAGAAAATAAGTACTACAGGATATCATTTATAGGTAGAATCTAACAAGGTTAAGCTTATGAAAGAGCAAAGCGGTAGTTACCAGGGATGGATGGGGGCAGAGGGACATGGGGAGAGTGGTAAGACTGATGGTGTTTAAGGGTACAAACTTGTAATGAATTAGCGAATTCAGCTTATAGAGAATTAGCCATTGAGATCTAAGGCACCGTATTCTGAATACAGACCATGTTACTGTACTGTAATTGTGACTGTGGTAAACACTGCTACCGCAGCATTCATTTTACAACATATAAATGTATCAAAGTAACATGACCGTACCCCTTACACTCACACAATGGTACATGTCAAATCCATTCAACTGCAAAAAGTAAATAAAAAGCAATAAAAAGAGATAAGACTAGAAACGGCATGTGCCGCCTCTTCTTCAGCTAGGAGTCATTATGTGGAGGGATGTCCGGAAGTGCAGGAGACATCTCTGTCCCTAAGGCCGCCTGAGGAAGCGGATTTGCCCAGGGAGGGAGGGGGCAAGAGAGAACCTGGCTCCCTGGACGTCACAGAACTGCCAAATCCATCAACCCTGGGCCTGCCTTCCCTGGCGCTCCGTTTTACTTGAAATCACACATTTTTGTTACTGGTTAGGCCATTGTGCATGTTTCTTTTTTCTCTTGCAAAAACATCCTGATTAAAAAAAACCCAAAACTATATTAAAACTGGATAGTCACCAAAACTTCTGGGTTTGATTTACAGAGAAACCTTACGAAGCCAGAGACTTTTTTTATTATTTTAATGAATTTAAATTTATTTTTTTTCTTAGTTTATTGTCAAGTAGGTTTCCATATAACATCCAGTGCTCATCCCCACAAGTGCCCTCCTCCATGCCCATCTCCCCCCTTCCCCTCTCCCCCACCCCCATCAGTCCTCAGTTTGTTCTCTGAGTTTGTTCCCCTGAATGTTCTCAGCATTCAAGAGTCTCTCATGGTTTGCCTCCCTCCCTCTCCCCAACTATTTTCCCCCTTCTTCTCCCTCACGGTCCTCCATTAAGCTCCTCCTAATCCACCTATACGTGCAAACGTATGGTATCTGTCCTTCTCTGCCTGACTTATTTCGCTCAGCATAACACCCTCAAGTTCCATCCATGTTGCTACACATGGCCAGATTTCATTCTTTCTCGTTGCCATGTAGTATCCCATTGTATAAATAAACCATATCTTCTTGATCCATTCGTCAGTCGATGGACCCTTAGGTTCTTTCCATGTTTTGAAGCCAGAGATTTTTAATCTGTGGTGTTCTCTGTAATATCACACTTATAACACCTGACCTGTAGCACAGCAAACACTCAGTGACAATTTTTTGAATGAATGTCACTTTTTCCTTGGAACTCCATTTATGTAGATTTGACCATTTATTTTTCCCTCTGAAACCAACCCCCTTAAATCTACTAAGAATGCATTAAGTGCAATGTTAATATACATTTTTAAAAAAAGATAATTACATACTGTAATTTAGCAACTGGAACAAGTATCAAGTAATGACTTCGTTACTTTCAGATTTTTAATAACAGCCTTCTAAACTCCACATCTGAAAACTAAAATCTCCAAATCTAACAAGAGGCATTGTGTCAAGCAGATTTTTGGCCACATCAACTGTTACATCTGATAATAATGGGTGTTATTCCTGAAACAATAGACTTAGTCACAGTACTTACTCCAAGAAAGATGTTTTTGGAAGAGTCGAATCCGGCTGCGAATATCCGTGCTGTGTAAGGTTCACTCCTGTCGCAGACGATCCTGCAGGCAAACCTGGATATGGTGCTCTGTGTAATCTGGGCCTCATCGTTGTTCTGACTGCCCGAAATCGTGTCTGTAACAACGAAGTCGATAGGGCTTTCTGTTGATCTGCCCACCTAAATAAATCAAATGCACTCATGACTCATTTGAAAAGTATGTCACCATATTTTCTTCACATGGAATGAGCGTTCCGGATCCCTTTAGCATTCATTATCTACTCTGAGGGAAGGAATTTAATGAAAAAATAAATGTAGTTCTGTTCCTTTTCTTGTTTAACTGTGATATTATAGTAACCAATCATCAGATTTTAAATATTAAGATAAAATGTAAATTTTTTATTTGAGAGAAAAATATGAAGTCTTGCCCCCCCCCACAGATTGTATCTCTTGGATCAGGTAAAAAACATTGCTTTAACAGCAAATTATTCTCTCCCTCACCAACTCCTCCGCCCCCTCTATTTCCAGCTGGAAAAAAACAAGATTTTAAAGAAAGCCAAGAAACAAAGGAACCGGTGCCCGGCCACAGGGATTGTTTTTCCCCACTAAGTAAATCCAGTGACTCATGGCATGGAGCAAGAACAGCCCTAACCCAGACAGAGACCAAATGGCTGTTGCCATGCTCCATGTAAATGAGAATGATGTAGAGGGCTATACAAGTCAGCCTAGAGTCTGGGATGCAGTCAAATGAAATATTTAAAAAGCTGGTCTTAACATTTCAATTTTGAAGTAAAAAAAAATTCTCTCTTGGGAAAGTCTAAAAGAGTTGCCAATAATATGTTGACTTACTTTTCCTTGGTAAGTTTAAACACTTCCAGAAAGAATACATTTCATTAGGAAGATCTTATAGTTCTAAAAAAGGGTCTCATACTCAATAAATAAAAATAAGGTAGGTACTGCTCTGTCCTGGGAACTGGGAAGAGTTAAGTATTTCTTTACAAATAAAGAAATTCTCAAGGAGTGCCTGGATTGCTTAGTCAGTTAAGCGTCTCACTTTGGCTCAGGTCATGATCTCGTGGCTCGTGAGTTCGAGACCACCAATGGGCTCTGTGTTGATAGCTCAGAGCCCGGAGCCTGTTTCAGATTCTGCATCTCCCTCTCTCTCTGCCTCTTCCCTGCTCATGCTCTGTCTCTCTCAAAAAAAGATAAACATTAAAAAAAATTTAAAAAATCCTCAAGACAAAATATTAAAACGTACATGTAATACTGTTCTATGCATCTATTAACTCGTAAAAAGTGATGTTATTTATATGCCAAAGAGACTTTTTAAATTAAAATCACTTATATGTAAATAAATCATTTCTCACTAAAATGGGATACTAACGTTCTCTCCTAACACTAGTGACTTTGATTCAGAAGCTGACAAGGGGAGGGACACACGGAGCCCCCAGATGTGTACAGGTAAGCCCCCCCAAAAGTTAATTTCCCAGGTGTTTTTACCCTGATCTCAAAATTCTATCTAAAACAGAAGATGTAATATATTTTTCACCCTAATGAATAAAAGTAAAAAATATGTATCATCTTGTATCATTTAACTCTGTTGGCTTCCTGGAAAATTATTATTCTATTTCTTTTGCAAATCTCACACATTTTTATGCACAGACTATCTGTATTAAGCCAACAGACAACAGGCATCTATTTTCTGTCTCCTCCTCCTTTTTTTTTTTTTTTACAATCCTTAATTTCTTGTCCTAATGTGCCTGAAAGAAGTAAACCTCTGGTTTCACGGAAACTCATCAACTTGAAAAGATGCATATTGCCTGCATTTCATTCAGGTTTTGAAAATATATAACGTGTTTAAGATGCAACATAAAACCTAAATTAAGAGATCTTATAAAACTTTACCATACAATTCATCTTTCTAAAGTTAAAGTCTTCCCTCTGCTAGATTCATTTAAAAGCTGGGTACGTAACTCAGAAGCTCTGATTCAGTCTGCTCTCTTTTATGAGCCTTTATTTTTTTTTTTTGGAAAGCTATTCTCTTAGCGACTTTCAAGTATACAATACAGTATTATTAACTATAATCACCATGCTGTACATTAGATCCCCAGAATCTATTCATCTTACAGCTGGAAGTTTGTACTATGTGACCAACTTCTTCTTTCCCCCACACCCTCAGCCCCTGGTAACTACCATTCTAGTCTCCACTTTTATGGTTTCGATTTGTTTTTCTTTTAAGATTCCACATATAAGTGATATCACACAGTATTTGCTTTGCCCTATTTCATTGTCAAATATTTTTTTAATTAGAAAAGTAAATACTTATTGCAAAATATTTTACAAATATAGAAAAGTTATAAACAAGAAAATAAAGGCTACTCTAAACTCAGGAATAAACTTGTCCTGTCCAATGAATACAGTTGCCCAGTGAAGCTTGGGAGGGAAATGTGGTAAGTTCTACAATTGCCTGAAGCTCTCACAGTCTCTGACATAGTTTCTGTTACCTCCATGCAAGAAGGCAGAGACTCTTCAAGCTCTCTTATAGGCTCAAAGCCAAAGCCATGCTCTGGTAGAATGTCACCATTCTACTGTCTGGTAGAACAGTCACACAACTGTTACCGTCCACAAAGATTACTGTCTTCTGGAAAGGCCACTGTGATTTCATCCCAATATATTAATGTCTTGATGAATTAACTGAAATGGACTGTAAAACATGACATTTCAACTGGACCATACCGTTACGATCAATTATTTCAAGTCACTGATACTTATCTGACTCGTCATGTTTCAATTGTTTACCAATTCACTCCCACTTAATTCTAACCTATAGGGTGCCAGTAAAATTCTATACTGTCAGATACAAACCTGATGTTGCTTTTGCCAGAAAAAAAAAAAACCTAAGCCACTTTCCTGCTGAAAGCTCACCTCGTGTGCAAAAGTTGGAACCCATCCTTTTGAATACTGGATCAATTCTACATTATTTTAAGGGCAGTCATGTAGACAAGCCAAGATGCTCCTGAATTTCATCTGATAATCATACAGTGCTGATATCCATAGAGCAGCCACAGGGAGAATTTTACTGATACCACAGACACGGCATCATTCAGCACTGTAAGTTTTATATATTTTAGAAAAGTCTGGGTTTGCCTGGTTGTTAGGTCGAAGTCAGTACAGGTAGGAAGGCACTGAAGAACTTGGGAGGGCTCCCCTCATCTTTCCTGGACCAACGGCACCCATGTCTCTGCATCTATAACCTTATTTTCTGACGTCCCTCCTAAGACAGGGATGGAACATTGCCGCTTCTATCCAAGACCAATCTGTCTGCTGGGATTGGTGTCTCCATGTTCTTCCCAAGGATTCTGTTCCTGGTACTGTCCCCTCCCTCTCTCAAATCTTCAATTTCTCTTTTATACTAGATCTTGCCATCAGCTACCAAACACATTGTGAAGCTTCCCCAACTCTGTTACTCTGTAGGGGTAAAAGGACCAATTTGTTTTTTAAACAGCAGCTTGTCAGTGATACTTTTTAAAAGTACAATAAAAGTATTAGAAAAATGATCACCTGCTTGGATGTTTCAGGTACGATACAAAGTGCTATGATGGTTTCCAGACTCCTCTCCGTGTCCTACTCTGCTCATTCTGTACGATTAAGGGACGCTTGGAGGCTCAGCTGAGCACGCTTTGAGTAGCACTGTTCTAGGCATGTCTCTCATCTTTAAAAACACATTCCTTCCAGGGCGCCAGGGTAGCTCAGTCGGTTAAGCGTCCGACTTCAGCTCAGGTCAGGATCTCAGAGTTTTTGGGTTCAAGCCCCACATTGGGCTCTGTGCTGACAGCTCAGAGCCTGGAGCCTGCTTCAGATTCTGTGTCTCCCTCTCTCTCTGCCCCTCCCCATTTGTACTCTGTCTCTTTTAAAAATAAATAGCCATTAAAAAAGTTAAAAGCAAAACAAAACAAAACATATTCCTTCCCCTGCAAGCAGCCCTCAAGCCATGGCCCCATTTCTCCAGTTCACTTAGTGGCAATACTTCTTGAAAAACCCATCACTAGTTACTACCCTCCTGTGTCCTTACTCGTCCCTCACTCAACTTCTCTCCTCAACCCACCCCGTGGAGGGTCTACCCCAGAGCACTACTGACAGCACTACTGCAGAGCTCAGCCTGCATATCCTGGCTTATCTGCACCTGGTATTAGAATAATGAAACCTGGGGTGCCTGGGCGGCTCAGCTGGTTACATGGCCAACTCCTGGATTCAGCTCAGGTCATGATCTCATGATTCCTGAGCCTGAGCCCCTGTATTGGGCTCTGCACCTAAGTGTAGAGCCTGCTTGGAATTCTGTCTCTGCCCCTCCCTGGTCACTTGAGTGCCCTCTCTCTCAAAATAAATGTTCTCTCCCTAGATCATCTTGTCAAATCCCATTATGAGCCAAAAAGCCCTGATCTTTACCAGAGCTTCAGACTGGCATGCTTAGTCCAGTCTGCTTGGGTGTCTGATAAACCATCTCAAAATATAACATGTTCTAAACAGAACCTGGATTCTCCTTCAACCCCTAGATGCCCCACGCCGACGACTGGCGTCCAATTTGCTCAAGCTAAAATTCACTATCAAAGGATTATCCTCGATTGTTTACCTTCCTCCATGGCCACCTGTCAATACCGCCTCCAAACACAGCTTCCATCTTGCCATTTCCCACACCTTAGTTCCAGTCACCCTCAGCTTTTACTGGGATTGCATTGCCTTAGTCTCCAAACTGGTCTCTGTTTTCACACATATCACCTTCATTCTTCTCTAGATAGCAGTTGAAGGTATCTTTAAGAAATATCAATCAGATTATACCTCTCCCTTGCTTAGAACTCAAATTTTTTACTTGGCCTTAAAGGCCCCACCTCTCCAAGCTCATCTCATTGCACTGTCCTCCTCCTTCACTCTGCTCCTGCTTGGGGCTCTGCCCCCCGCCCCCGGAATGCTTATTTATGGTCTGTTTGCCTCCTTTAGGATGCAGGCTGTCTGTCTTCAGTAACTACAGGAGTATCTGATACATAGCAGGTGCTCAAGAAATGAAAGTGATGAATGGGAGATTATGACAGTCAGCTATGAACCCTGTGAGAGAGACACATATACAATGTTTTAAGAATTTTTTTTAAGAGAGAGAGCAAGCATGAGCATGTGAGAGCAGGAGA